AACTACAGTTTATGTATACGTATTGTAATTCACAGTTCACATCTCTAATTTAACTTGTTAACAGAAATAACACATTCATAATAGAGATGTAAACTAGAGATGCGAACTGTGAATTACAATACGTATAAATAAACTGTAGTTTATTTTAAAACTACTTTACAATAAACTACAGTTTATTTATATTAACTACTAGTTATGGATTGCATCTCTAGTTCGGATGTTCATATATTTAGAATTTATATATCATAGACATCCAAAATTTTATACGAATTCGTATAAAACTTTGGATAATCAAAAATTACTGTAGTTTATTTTAAAACTACAGTTAACTACAGTTTACAATAAACTACAGTTTATTTATATTAACTACTAGTTTACGGATCATGTCTCTAACTGTATGAAAATTGAATCAATCTGTGGGATTTGTTGTGATGTTATTAGTCTCTAAAAGTATATACCAGTATAAGAGATTCAAACGAAACCCGTTCACCTTTTTTTTTTGTCTTGAATTCTTTTATTGTAATTGGAGGATTAAACAATATACCAGACTCTGGTTGTCACCATCCGTTAAAATACTCAAAATATAATTTTTTTTTTAATTAAAATTATTAAATTGTATTGTGAGAATTGAAAGCAAAGTATTCAATTATCGAAAGTTGAATTTTTTATTCAATAAATTCCTTAATTGTTATTGTAATTTATATAAACCATACATATTTCGTATTTTATTTTATTAAATATCAAAATGAAATTGACCCATGAATATTATTTAGAAATTATCAATAATCTTGAAGGTGATCATCAAATGCTATTTAGCTGTCTCTTTGTTGATCACAAATTTTGTCGCTTTACTGTGCCTCTGTTATGGGCTGACCCTTTCAATAATATATCTAAAGATTCTATAGATGTTGTGTCTATTTATCTTTCTTACCTTAATAAAAATGAAAAGCTTCAATTGACTTCAAAAGCATATCAAGTTGATCTTTCATGTATTTCCAAAGAAACTTTATTTGAATATACTGACTTTCTAGAGACTTACTCTAGTAACAAGATAAAAAATATTGTCTCATTATGATATCAATATACTCAGGATATATCTAAGCCTGGTTTAGAAATTCCAACTTTTGTGGCTATTCAAAGCATGTTGTTTCGAACATGTAAGCGAATCAAGAAATTCTATATTTCAGTGGCTGAAGATAGCTTAACATTTCCTTTAATATCTAGTTCATGGTTCTATTCATCAGAATTGAGAGAATGCGAATTTAAATTTGTTGTTTCAAATAGTCAAAACACAAATGTATACAATTACATTAACTTGATTTCAATACGAAACAAAAGAATTCAGACCATCCGTATTATGGTATATAATGAAGATATATTACCAAATTGCCAAGAACCAATTTTAAATTTAATTAAGACTCAAACTGAACTCAAAGAACTTGAGCTAAAATATTTTAGTACAACTAGTTTTACACCTTTACTACAATATAAAATGCTCCAAGTAAAATCTCAAAGACTTAGGAAACTAATTTTACAGGGGATCAAGTTTGATAAAGATAATCTTGCAAATCTTGTACCAAACTTGGAGGTTTTATCAATTAAACATTCTTTTGGAAATCTTTTTGGAAAACAAAATAATTTACAAAATCTTCAACAACTTGAATTAGTAGATAATGACATAGAATTAAATAGAATTATGCTGAAAACAAAATGAAAATCACTAAAATTTTTTATAATAAATGAGAAGGAATTAAGCAATGAAGTAAAGAAAAAAATTGTTTTTTTGCTTAGTCAAAATTACCCAAACATAACTACTTTATGTTATGTGACTGATAATCTTATGTTCTCTTCTACACTTAAAAAATTCCATAAGCTTTGTCAACTACAAATAGGAGGATTTGCTTATTATAATTTTCCTAATAGTAGTCAAGATTATCTACAAGCCTTAATTAAATATTTGTCTAGCTCTTTAAAAATTCTTAGCTTACTTAATATTTATGATTATAGTTACGAAAACTTAAATTCTTTTTTACAAGATTTTGATATAGAAAGAGTGAAGTTAACAGTTTTTATATTACCTTTTAATGTTGAGCTTAATTTACTTCCGAATTTAAGAAAATTTATTAAAAAAGCCAAATATTTAAAGTATATAGAAATAGTGAGATCAGAGAATTACAATATAGAAAAACAGAAAGACAGTGAGAGAGATATTATTAATCTTTGTAAAGCTAGAAATATTAAATGCATTTTAAAATTTCAGGTAGATAGAGATAAAGTTTATTTCTGTACTTATGAGCTAAAATTTGAATCTTATATAAGAAGCATTAATGTTTGATGCGCTAATAAAAATTCGCAACATTAAATATAAAAATAACTTATTTTGACATTCTTATGTGGATTCATTCTCCAAGCTAGAGGTGCGATCCGTAAACTAGTAGTTAATATAAATAAACTGTAGTTTATTGTAAAACTGTAGTTAACTGTAGTTT